TGAAGAAATAAAATATATAGAAAAAAAGCTAAAGCAAAGTAGTGCTTTCAGTTTTTTCAATGTGTAGATCCTGTAGATAATCCTATCGATAACCGATGAGACAAGAACTGAACGTGGGTTGCAGTAGATTGTTTTATTCAGCTTTTCTGTCTATATCACAGAAAGTCACGAACCAAATCATTTCAAGCATTTTTATACTTTACATAATTCCCGATTGAAAATACCAAAAGGGTTTTCTTAAAGAGAGAAAAAATGTCCCTCGTCTTGGGAGCGAAATTAGTGCTTCTTCTAGAGGTTTCACACCCAATTAATTTTTAAAAAATTATAAAAAAGCCTGAACCCTCCAATAACAATTTTTGATGTTATGATTGCCTCCAAAGAATATTGATTGCACATTTCAATCAACTACTACAGCAAAAACCAATGTACACGTACACCTAAATGAAATTTCCTAGGATACAAAACAAGTTTCATGTTCAACTATTTGTTTACTATGTTACAAATCACTAGCAACAGAGGAACGAGCCAACCGCGCATGCGCGACTAGGAATACAACAAAAAGCTCCTGACAAGGGATTGAATAAACATACTGCGGAACGGAAACATTTTAACTGTCTTGATTTAGATTTTTTAAGTGGTTTGAACGTATCGCATTTATACCTATGTTTATATTTTTGTAACATTTTGTGACGTCACAAGGCGGTGATTTTCAGCGTGAAAGTAATCATCATCGTACGCTTAGTGATGTAAGTCGACTCCTGTCGCACGAATTAGAGCCAGTTTGGAATTCATTTAAAGAAGATAATATGAACCAAGGTGCGTATGAAAACATCAGTAACAGAAATGATTGTCGGAAGCGGCCTAAAATGGATGTAACAAAACGGAGTGACAAGGCGACGCAAGATGAGTCAGACTAGAATATAGACGAGCTGATGAATTCATGATTGAAGCTGCAACTACTGGAACCAAGATATAAAAGAAGAAGAAGTTGCCGTTTAAAGAATTGATATTGGTGTATTCGTTACAAAACGATTGGACACAAACACACTAGCTAATTGTAGAGTTCAGAGTATTTCGCGCGGTAAATCTACAACCAAAAMGTTATTGAATTCAAAAAAATTGCAGCCTTCAAATTAGGAAAGCCATCGGAAGCGACGTTATTGAAAAAAAAAGAGACGTCTTTTTGGATAGGAGAAAGAAATTGCCTCAGTCATAACAAATTTTATCGGATTTATTAAAAACTCTGCTAGTGAGTATTTATGCTGTAGCGAGGTGTAAACAACGACAAGACCGCTAGAAGCGTCGCAATTGCAAATGAATCAAGGTTCTTTTAAAACTCCAGCCGAGGTACTTTAGACAAACAACGTCATTACAGTGATGGGTTATTGAAATCTATTGATAGACCTTAAGGGAYGTTATAGGTTGAGTTTCTGTGAGAGAATCTTCAGATCCAGGGAACGGACAGTCATCCAACAAAGAACCAAAGAAAACTTTAAACTTCAATGGAGATTTAAGAGCAGTTGCCTGGAGTGTTCCTGTTTCATACTCAAGTAGGAAAAAATCGTAAGTAAAAAAATATCACCAAAAAAAGGAAAAGACATCAGTCCATCTATCACGTCGGTTCATCACGTGGCCTAGTGGTTGCGGAATCCTTCCCTGATACTGGCCATGGAGAATACTTCAAACACTAGGTTTTGGAATTTAACAATTGAAGATAGCGTTTCTTGTTCTAARGAGACTTTCGAGTTTAGAATGACAAAATACGCATTTTATGGCGTCATTTTTGTTATCAGTTTTATTGGGAATTCATGCGTTTGTGTGGTAGTATGGAGAAAAGCTGGTATGAAGACAGTGATGAATTACTTTCTCGTGAATCTTGCCGTTGCTGACCTTGCCTTTACAGTCATTTGTATCCCATTTGACCTTCCGGTCCAAGAAAACGGCTACAAATGGCCTTTCCACGAATCACTTTGTAAGGTAATATTCCCACTTCAGACAATGTGCGCTTTTGCATCGGTGTTTACCCTGGCGGCGATCAGTTTGAGTCGGTTTCGCGCTGTCGTGCATCCGATGAAACGCCAACTAAATCTACCGGCCACGCGAGCTGTCATTTGTATCATATGGCTGTCATCGTTAGTGTTTGTAATTCCTTATGGTCTTGTTCTTCGTGTGAATAGAGACACTAACCAGTGTGAAGAAGACTGGCCGCAACCTGCACACCTCTATCGAACGACGTACACCATTAGCATCTTCATTGCACAATACCTAATACCATTAGCTCTCATCTTCTGGGCTTATGTGAGGATTTACTTTGAGATGGCGGCAAATTCTGCACGGTATCATCAATGCACGCGCAATGAGCACGCTATAGAGACACGGAAAGTCCTTCGTACAGCAATCGCAGTGACAGTACTTTTCGCCATCTGCATGTTACCCAATCATATTGTCTGGGTGATGATGGACTTCATCGAAGACAACAGTTTTATTGGTTGTAGTAGTTGGTTGGTAGTGGCTAATATTTGTGTGTTTGCTAACAGCGCCGCGGATCCTATCGTCTACACTGTATTCCACGAGAAATACAGGAAAGAGTTTGTGAGATTTGCGACTGGTATATGTAGGTTATACACAGGGAAGAGGAGAAATCATAACTTGGAGGTCACGGTGACGTATTACGGTAATGCGTTCACTGAAAACAGTCATCATTGCCATGGCAACAAGATGAGATTGACAACCAATACGAGTACGAACTCCGTACTTGACAAAGCAAGAGACTTGAATGATGTTAACCATCATTGCCATGGAAATAAAGTCAGATTGACAGTCAATACGAGTACGAACTCCGTACTAGATGATACAAGAGACTTGAATGATGGTAACCGTCATTGCCATGGAAATAAAGTCAGATTGACAGCCAATACGAGTACAAACTCCGTACTAGATGATACAAGAGACTTGAATGATGGTAACCATCATTGCCATGGAAACAAGTTGAGATTGACAACCAATACGAGTACGAACTCCGTACTTGACAAAGCAAGAGACTTGAATGATGGTAATCATCATTGTCATGGAAATAAGTTGAGAATATCTCCTAACATGAGTACAAACTTGGTACTGGATGATACAAATAAGTTGAATGATAGTATTCATCATTGCCATGGAAACAACGTCAGGTTGATAATCAATACGAACTCGTAAATAGATGAAACAAGAGACTTGAGACTGCATCTTCTTGGTAACTGCACTTGGATACCAACCATATCACGTCTTGCATCAATGTACCCCCAAGAACTAACCAATGACATTAACTGAAGTCCCAATCAGTTCTATCTTTACATCCTCTATCGGGTGGGAAGCTAGTGTAGAAGAAAGAAAGACTAACAATGACATATCGCCAAAGGAAACGGATTTATTAAGCATCTTCATGACACAGAGTGTACTGGATTTATTCCTTAGAAGTGCGACGCGAGTTTACGGCTAACTTACATTGATGCTTGGTACTCGAGATGTAAGGAGGATTATAACTTTATAACTTGATGCAAAAAAAAAAAGAAAAAAAGAAAAAAAGAGTATAAGAGGATAGATACATAAGATTACTTGGGGAATGACAGATGAATATAATTCAAAGCTAATTCTAGAAGGAAGACAAAGGATTAAGACAACGAACTATCTGGTTCTTTGAAATATATTGAGTTAATAAAAAAGTAGAATGAGTTTTCATCGACAGAACAATTTAATTACGCAAATGAATAAAGCAGAAGATACTAACAGCGATTAATTTTTAATAAAGTTCAATGTATTTTTGAACTTAAAATTGAAAGAGAATTCAATTAAAATAACTAAATAAGGATGAATTTCTGAATGAACATGAAAGAAAAAAAGAAAAGAAGAAAAGAAAGAAAAGGAAAGAAAAATAGAAAGTGAAGATTGAAAAAAGTTGTCTAAGCGGGAAAACCCAAAAAATTTAAGTAAATTTGTCACGTATTTTACTATTAGTCAAGCCAATGGGAAGTCATTTGAATGTTACGTAATGTCATACCATGCCATGCACCTGCATTTTGGTTGGGTGAATTATACAAAAATGCCAATGGGAAGCCATTTGAATGCTATCTAATTTCATACCATGGCATGTACCTGCATTTTGATTGGGTGAATTATATAAAAATCCAAGGGGAGGCCATTTGAATGCTACGTAAAATCATACCATGCCAAGTACCTGCATTTGGATTGGGTGAATTGTACAAAAATTGAATACTACGTAGTATTGTCATACTAGGCCATTTACCTGCATTTTGATTGGGTGAATTAAACGAAAATGCCAATGGGAAGCCATTTGAGTGCTACGTAATGGCATACCATACGATGTCCCTGTCGTGCCACACTTCATATATTAATTAACTGCAAAATAATTATTCTCGGGTTTCCTGAATCCAAGATATTATCCCGCACGGGACTTTGCATAAATCCTGCCTATCTACTTATCTAATCATCCATTTATTTATTTGTAATTTAATTGTTTTTCTCAATTTTGACGCTACCCAACAATGCCGTTTAAAACACATCCAATCTCGAATTCAATCACCAACTTCTGACTATCCAAGAATACATATCAAATCAATAAAAATTGCTTTCTTATGACTAAGTTCTCATTCCAATATTCATATAATATCCAAGTATAAAATTCATAAATTCAATAATCGAGAAAATAAAATACAGCCTAAATTTTGGTATATCCCAATTCTGGATATGATTGTTAAAGATATCCAATTTTGGCGATTTTATTTTCTTGCCCCAGCAACATAAATCTCATTTCCAGGGCATAAATATAAATAATTCAGTTCAATGTTTTTTGAAGATATTCAATTTTGGCCATTTTATTTTCTTGCCCCAGCGACATAAATCTCATTTCCAGGGCATGAATATGATTCATTCAGTTCCCATTTCATCTCCCTTTATAGGATGACGAAAGGTTGTTATCTGGGTTTAAACGTTATTATCACCAGCAGTTATCAACTTGCACTCTATGGTAATTCGTGTTTAGAGATCTAGTTATTTTCCTAGAAACCTTTTTTGGTAAAGATTTTAGGAGATTCAACCAACATGAAAAACTAGCAAATGACAGTACAAATGCAGCAAATATATAAATGATTATTACTGTACTTTCCTGGGGTATGAAGCATTTTGATAATTCGAAATTCTTGGGCGTTATTACAGCCTGGAAAACGGAAAAAGTATTTAAAAATTAGTCATTTGGGAATTAAAAACGACACTGATACGCGTTATTATTTATCCTTCTTTCTTCTCTCGTTATAATTAGCACCAGGTACGACTATCACACTCACCACCACACAACCATCACACTCACCACAACCATCATCATTACCATCATCACCTCTCCTCATCACCACTACCAACAACATCGCTATCACCTTTTTCTCATCACCACAACCATCATTATTACCATCATCACAACCACCACCACCATCTTCATTACCATCATCGACTCTTCTCATCACCACCACCACTAACATCTCTATCACCTCTTTTCTCATCACCACAACCATCATCATTACCATCATCACCTACACCAACAACATTACCATCATCAACTCTCCTCATCACCACCATCATTACCATTATCACGATCACCAACAATATCACCATCATCACCTCTCCTCTTCACCACCACCAACATCGCTATCACCTCATTTCAGTCATCACCACAACCACCATCGTTACCTTCACCAACATCACCATCATCACCTCTTTTCTCATCACCACAACCATCATCATTACCATCAT